TTAGTCTAAAAATCATAAAAACTTGTATTCTTTTATGAACATTCTAAAGTATTATTAGATATTATCTTACATCCTTGTGATTGACTTTGAAATTTTTTACTATGTTTGAAATATTTTCTTGAATTATCATTAATTTATTTGATATGCTATATTTCTAAAATTTACAAAATATTTCATAAATTTATGAATTTTAAATTTATATGATTTATTATACAATGAGTAAGTCATGTCAAGATGTAATTGTAAGTACCAATGTAAAGAAAAGATTATTTTAGTGTGCTTTTTAAACTGGCAAGAGGCATACTTGAATGTAGACAAATGCAACAAACTAGGAAATAAATGTGTGAACTTTGAAAGAGAGACATGCCTAAGTAGACTATAAATATTAAGCAAAGATACACTAGCATGAGTCACTAGATCTAGAGGATGTAAGTAATAAAGACCATCACATTGAACCCTTTTCTCAATCTTGTTTCAGCTGTTAAGTACTATACAACATAAGATTCAGAAAAAAATGTAGTGGAGATACTATGCGTGCGAGTAAGAGAACTAATAGAAATAAGGTTAAAAAGAGATTGAAGAACATATAAAATTGATATAAGAGAAAGACAAGGCAAGGTCAAAGAAGTCTCAATGTCAAGAACTGAAGTCTTCAATCTAATAGCAAGTGTGAGCAAAGATTGATAACGATTTGAGTAGTAGAAGGTGAAATAAGAATATATATCTTAGATATGATGAGTAACACCTGAATCAAGGATCTGTAACTTATGTTAGCAAATGTAGATGTCTTTTGAGTAGTATATGACTGAGCCAAGTAACAAAGGCAGTGATCACATGATAGTGCAGAGTTAGAGGTGCAACTAGAGTGACAATCTATCAAGATAAATGCTGAACAACTATACATTCTTGGAGAACTCGTTGTACCTCCTTGATTATGACAAAATTAAGAAGAGTGGATGAAGTTGTTGGTCGAGTTAGTGGATACATAGTGGTCTCATTTGATGTAGCAACATGAACTTGGAGACACTTATGAAGAACATAATTCTAATCTCGAGTGTGGCCCTTCCAACCACAATAAGAATAGTCAAGACAATGATTGAATTTACCATGCTTGTCACCACGTGCACCTTCATCAAGTCCTTGATCTTTAGAGCCATAGGGGCGACCACCATTAGAGGAGCAGCAAAAGAGACGGTTAGAATAACAAACTTAGGTGAAGGAGAGGAAGTCGCTGAAGTAATAGGCATATGAGAGAGATGTCAAAAAATCTCAACAAGAGAAAGAACTTTCGACTTCAAGATGAACTAGTTCCATGCACTATTGTATTATGTTAGAAGACTCCGTAGAAAGTTGATGCATTAAAGCAATCCTAGTAGTGATGCATTGTTGTATGATCAATGGATTATCAATGAAGTAAATTATTGCTCAACTCGAATAAATGCTCTAAAGTACTCCACAAATGAGTGCTATCATTTCTACATATCATAAAACTCAGCCTAGATATCATATTGGCGGGTGAGATTATTGATGTAGATTAATCTAAGATGATCCTCCATAATGAGAGACAATAGATCTTGTCTTGTAAGATAAACATGAACAACACGACTCTATTGTTGAGAATTATCGGCTCCCGATAAGCAGTAAGTGACGAAATTAGGAGTCGAATGTGCTGTAGGCATTGCATAAATAATATTCTCACCCATAGATGTCTCAAAACTCCCCAAGTCATTGGACATGTTGGTGAAAAACTAACATATGGGAGAGTCCTTGAACACACAAACAAGCCACCATTGGATATGTACACCCAAGATGCCCTAAGGCAGATAGGGCCTAGGGTGTGCCTTAGGGCACAGAAGAGGGTAGACAGCCCCTTGAGGTGGTCCTAAGGCACAATGGAGCCCAAAAGAGTATTGACCAGCCAGAGGGCTTGTTGGTCAGCCTAGTGGGTGCACTGGTGTGCGTGTTGGTGCATTGGCAGTGGCTACAATGGCCAATAGAAAAGCGTAAGCTTTGATACCATGTAGACAAAAAATAATATAATAATCATAAAAAGAGGGCAAAAGCCCTATACATAAAGGGTGAGGAGAGAGAGAAAGTGAGCCAAGCCCATAAACATAAAAAAGGATAAAAATATATGTATATATATCTCTACAAGATGCATTCATATCTACGATTTTAAAGTTACATCAATCATGCATGGGCAATTGATGAAGGACCCTAATATTTTACATGTAGGAAACAAGTTACAAGAAATATATGATAGCCTACAGTTATATTATTTTTGAAAATAATTTTAAAGTATTAATATAAATTGTGAGGATGTATTTCTAATAATTTAATGGCAATAGATCAGTTTTTAAAAATAAAGTGTATCATGTCTAGTTGAAGACATTAAAATTAGCAATTATTGGGAGGCAACTAAAAGTTTCTTTGAAATTTTATTTTGTTCTTTGTTTTTTTTATTCTTATGTTTTTCTTCTTATCTTAGTAGGAATAATAGTGTCCACATTCATGATGTCCAGAGAAGTATGGAAGAAGACAAATGACTTTTTCAGGTTCTATGCACTTATCTCTTATGATTATTTAAATTGTTTAATTATGCCATTGAGGATAATGTCATGTAAGTTGAGGGTTAAGGTGCGACTGAATGAAATATCTGTTAAAATCTATTAACATCTTTTTTGAAAATCTTATATGAGCATATTTTTTTAATTTTTTTGAGAATTTAATACTTATGGGACAACCATAACCCATATTCATACTTCATATTTCATTAATGAATGGAAGATTATTTAACATATTTGACTTGGAGTATGTTAGAGTTCTCATAGTCAAAGATAAGAAGGTTGAATCAATAGAAAAATTATTAGAATACTCATTATATGTATGAGAAATATCATTGAACTCATTTGATACATCTGTACTTTATAATTTAGTAATTATCATTTAGGAGGTGGTTTCTCAATTAGAAAACTCATGAGGAGAAGTTAAATGCCTAGCTAAATATTTCAGTTTTTAAAAAATAAAAAATGATGATAGTGTGAAGCCCTAAAAGTGAGGCGAAGTGCCTAGACATTCTCCTTCAATAATCACTCTACGAAATTGGGGGGGTATGAAGAAAAGCCTTCCGTGATGTAATATAATTTTAAAATATCCATAGCTTTTCTGGATATTGTAGTGCTTCTGAAATCATACAACAGACTATATCCAATATTTGAAGCCAAGGAGGTATTTTGGCCTATTTTCACATTAATTGGGATCTTTCTTCTTAGAAATTCCAGGCAACTCTTAGCATGGGCAGATAGAGTTGACCACATCTAGGTTAGCTTTTTCTGGGGGCTGAGTTTATCCGCTGGTTGACCTCCATATGCATCATTGGTGTGGTCTGTCTCAACCGAGAAATTATAAAAGTCTGTGATATGAACGTCTCTCTCCCCGCCCCATCGCCATGGACAGATTAATTGGGTTCTGACTTTCGACTGTACATCGTTTAGGAATTGTCTGGATTCATCCCTGAAAAATCGGCACACAGCTCCCAATTTGGCTCGGTAACTTCTGTCTGCTTTGAAGTCTTGCCACATCTGGGCTTTTTTTCGGTGGGTAACGTCTGTCTCAGGCTCAAATTTTGCCAAAATTGGGTATTTTTATGGGTGGGTGAGTTTGTGTTCTTTTGTTCATCAACTCATTCCCCCCATTTCGTGGGCCTCTAAGTGACGTAACTAAATAAAGTAAAGGTTGAAGGTAGAAAATAGCTTTGACACTCGCGGCCACAGCAAATGAAAAGAGATCTCTTCTTGTCCAAGCAACCTCTTTGCTAACTTTTCCGGGCCCACTTATTTCCCAGCATCAACCAGATGGTGAACTGATGATACCCAACATACCCCGAGGATGGGAAGCTAATGACACCTGTGCCTCGACGGCGGACACGTGTATGCTATGCTTCTAGGTTTCTCCAACTTCCAGCATGTGCGACTTCTCATGCCGTCACCTCGCCGCAAACAGGAACAACACCTGCTTGACTCACGTCTCCACGCTCTTATCCGCCAAGCCCTGAAAGTCTCTCGTCGTTTCTTATGTCATGCCGTTGAATTTGAAATCTTGCCGTTGCTGTCTGGAGGCGCAGCACGCTGGGGCGGTAGTGGGGCCAGCTGACGGGGCTTTCCGAGGTGATTGTTGACCCCACGTCAGCAACGAACCCTTTGTCGGCACATGGGGTTGAATTTCCAAAAAGGCGGAGGGCTCCTAGAGGGGGAGGTCGGGCCCACAGATTCTAGCATCTAACGGAATGACTGAGAGACTGAATGCAGGAACGCGTTGGGGCTGCCACGTGCCGGTTATTGTCGGTATTTCCTGTTGGCTCCGGTCAACCCATCTGTCCCCTTGGCGCGTGCACGTTTGCCTTCACGAGCGACACCAAGTTTTCAGGGGCTCCAGACGTTATCCGGGGGTTCAAAGTCATGTGTCGACAATGAACCGTTTGTCGGCTCATGGTGTTTCAGAAAAGGCGGCGAGATCCGGCGCCGGGCGCAGGCAGTCGAACATTCGGACAGAAAGAGACAGAAAGAGACAGAAAGAGACATGCGTGGGGCCAGGGGCTTGGGATTTAGTGCCATCAATGAGACGCCACTTGACGTGAGACTTGATAACGATGGTGGCTGATGGGGAGCAGGCCATCCCGGACCTGGAGAAGTTCAGAAGGCAAATCTGGCCGGTTCGTGAACCAGATCCATTCAATCTAAAAAGTACCTTCTTTCAGCATTGAGAAATTCTCATAGCCTCAATCGGCAGAGAGACAGAGAGACAGAGAGAGAAGGTTCGACAGACATTGGATCCCCTGCCACCAAAACAGAACAATGGGGGAACAGCAGACGCAGACCCTTCGCAAGAACAGAGACAAGAACATGATCGCCACGGGGATCTACGTTCCGTGGGAGAAGCTCGACGAGGAAGCGGCAGGAGATGAGAGAGTACACAGAACAATTATGGACGAGGATCAGGAATCAATACGTATTCAGCGCACCGGCACCAGCTGGCGCCGCTGCCCATTCCATCACGACGAGGGCAATGGCGATAAGGACGCCGCAATTGACGATTCTGGCCCACCTGGCGGCCGCCGGCGAGCTCCGGCGGACGGTGGCCAGGATGGCCGTGAAAAGGCTCAGGAGGAGACAGACGATAAGCAGGATGGCGCTTACGCAGAAGATGACCCGGTGCAGGGGCCCGTAGATGGTGAAGATCAGACCAGCCGACAGCTTGACGAGGAGGACGGCGGTCTGCTTCTGTTCCTTGAGCTCCTCTGCCAGCTCTTTAGCCCCGTCCTCTAATACCATGTTGGCGGCTCGATCCCCGATTCCCGGAAGGCCCGGCGGCGGGGTGCACAGGGCACTCAGCAGAAAGAGAATCGGGGCAAGAACTTGCCGCATCTCCGGTCTTCCTTCCTGGGGGACAATCCATCAATCGACCACTGAGCTAACTATTTTTCCGTCCAGTAAATCGGGAGAAAAACCTTCCGGACGGAAAAAAAATGAGATGCCGTCGAGATCCCCGCGGAGAAATCGAAGGGGGCGGAAAAGAAGAGTAGATGATGTCTGATTGACTCGGTATGAGAAGCTTCTTCGGCATTAGAACACGCAGGGAGGGAGAGAATTCAGAGGGTGAAAGAAAAGGGAAAGAAAGAAATAAGTACAAGAGGGACCAAAGGGGCATCAGCTTGCAGAAGCGAGGACAGGAGACGAACAGAGGAATGGCTGGCTGCGCACGAACACAGGGGCTGGGCATTGGTTGATCCTTTAACACTCGAGTGGTTTCTCCTCAAGAATGTCCAAGATTCTCATTCAGAGCGGATTAGGGGAGGGCTGAAATGTAGGAAGATTTCGTCAGATATACCCCGGTGAGGAGAGGAGAGGGAAATTTATCAGGGGCGACTCCTCTAGAGAGGTTTTAGATGATGAATAAACTCACGGATAATCGAGTTATCTATCAATCTCTCGACCCCATCCGGCACTCCATCTTTCTACTACCATGATAACTCACAACGAATCCCCCCAAAAACCATGACAGATCAGTTCGTCCTCCATCGAGGCGCCAACTATTGAAAGATAGGCTACTTGAAGGGCATAACTCTGCATTGCGCTTACTAGTTTCAAGAGATTCATGCGGAGAACACCCAATGGGAAGGGATCCAGAGGAGAAGAAAGTACCTCTCTCTCAAGAACCACCGACCAAAGCTCTCCCACTACTCCTCCTCAGAAGTGGATGGCGCCAAAGGATCGAATGTGAGAAGGAGAGGAGAGCTCGGGTTTAAGAAAGATGCGCCCACAGAAATCCGCCCATAGGTTTCTGATGGGCCCCCACACTTATAGGCGAAGAAAAGTCAACAACTAAGAAAAGACAATCGAGAAGTCATGAAGTGGGAAGGGCACTTGCCGTGTGAAGAAGGAAAACTAGACTCTTTTATTCCATGACGACTGACAATTCTCAAGCAAACTTGTTGGAACCACTCTAATCAAATCTTGCTAGAGAAAGAAGCCATCAGCGAGGAGAGAGCCGTTGGCTCGTGAGAAAGGAGAGAGAGAAAGAAAGTGGCGGAATTAAAATTAGGTCAAAAAATAGGTTTAAGTACACATTTATATCAACCCAATACGAGCATATCAGATCTGGTTTTAGCATAAGTGAAACCAATTAGGTAGCTTCGATCAGCTTGTGAACTAGGGGGTCTAAGTATTATATTAATAAGAACATATATACAAATAATACTATAGTTTTGCTATAATTGTAATTTCATTCCTCAACATTTTCCTTAAGTTAGTGAATGCATATCATACAATCCCAACTTGGATATGAATGTTTAGAAGTTTGGTCTGTTTAATTCTTTGCTGAGAATATCTGCAAGTTGTTTATATATGGAGATGTGTAAATGTCGCCACTATCTAATTTTTCTTAGATGAAGTACTAGTCAATCTCATTATGTTTGGTTTGATCATGTTGCATAGATTTTGAGCGATATTAATAACTGATTTGTTGTCACAATAGAGCTTGATTCGGCTTTATCTATCAATTTTGAGATTTTTAAGATGTACTTCACCCATAATAATTCACATGTCTTATGACATAATAATAAATTCAGATTCTACACTTGATTGTGTCATAACTTGCTATTTTTTGCTCCTCCAACTGATAAGATACTTCAAGAAGTGTGCAATAATCTGAAGTTGATCTCCAATCAATAATAGAATTTGCATAATCAACATCAATATAAATTTCTAAATCGATATGATCATTTTTCTTAAATAAAATACCTCTACCAATGTTCACCTTCAAATATTATAAAATTCTATTTACAGTTAATGAATAAACTTCTTTACGTTTATGCATAAATTAACTAAGGATGCTCACTAAGTATGTAATCTTTGAGCTAGTATGGAAAAGGCAGATCAATTTTCCTACAAGGCATTGAGATAGGAGTCACTAGAGCCTGATGTGTGAGTCAAGCATTCCCCAAAAGAAAATCAGGCAAACCTATCATTCATTGTCAAATCGCTCTTTCTACTTGCATGGTGCCTACAATAGTAAAGGAAGCAGAAAGCAACAATTGTTCTCTACTTGCATGGTGTCAATTTTTCTTTTTTGAACAATAAATAATAGGTAAGGTACTCTTGAAAGAACTTTAGCTTGAACTACACTCCCACTTTAGTCTATTTGATCTCCTTCCCCAAAAGCTACATTGGCCTATTCCTCGAGGTGGGGGTATTTCATATTTGGATCTATCTTCTGGTTCTAGTTTAAGGTCCGACTCAAGGCCTTTAAGTACTTCTCACTTTAAAGGAGAATAGATAGATCAATTAGAGCTTTACTTACTTTCTTCACCTATGACTTTCAATAGTGCTTGACTCCCTCTAAAAAAGAAGGATTACTATATCTATAGGATTCTTATCTTCTACTTCTCTAAGCTTATGAATTGAATCTATACGAATATTGACGTGACTTAGTGGTTGTATAATAAATTATAATAAAATAGAAAATATTAATTTTAAATATTTAAAAATATTAAAAAATAAGTATATCAATTATAATTTAATAATTTTTTTCAAAAATAGTGATAATTTTCAAGTCAATCATGAGGATGTATGATAATATTTAATATATTTCAAAATCTTTCACAAAGAATACGAGTTTTTATGATTTTTAGTCTAAACAATGAAGATTAAATATATTTAAAATTTACAAAAAAGAAAAATAAAGGTGCAGACATCAGGATAACATAACAACCCAACAAACATGAATCATGTGATTCTTACATAAGCAATTACAAATGAATTAATTGATCAAATTAAGATATGTAAAAGTAAGAAGTATTGTGATTGAATGAAAAATAATTTTGAAACTTAAAATCACACAAAGTATTACTAACTAAAATAAAAATTAATTTGAAATCAAGAAAGGTAGAGTTCTAGCTTCGTGACAATGATTGCTAGAATTTTGTATTTGAGATTATCGAATCATGTCCATAGCCTCAAAGGCTCTTCTTGGACATAGACGGCCTAAGCACTTGTTGGATCTCCTTTCGAAGTCTAGAAAATAATAGTAAAAGTTGAATTAGTTCAAAATGGTAAACCAGAGTTCCAACATTATAATGGCAATGCATCATAATCTTGAGTGTTTGGGAGGATTATTGTGTAATGTCCATGATTTCAAATACTCTCTTTAGACATGAATGACGTGAGTAATCTTTACATATTCTAGTGAAGTGATGTAAGACAGGCTTGTAAACCCACCCTGACAACTAAATGTGAGTGAGGTAACAAGGGAAGGGAACCCTATACGCCACAAGTAATGCTAACCAATGACTCTAAATGATGAATGCTGAACTCAACTAAGTGCAGGCAGTAGCCAAAGTGCCATGACATCGACAATCCATCGTGTCTGTGTGTCGTCAAGTGGTGCTGATGTAGGGTGATCCTTCAAGTCCAAGTCTGAAAGACGAGGGCTTAGTATCGTTGATGCAGCTCCACTACAAGTGCTCAACGACCAATGTGACAATTCTGGCACGCACGTCAGAATCGTGTGGTGGAGAGTCCTAATCCATTCTAACCTAGCTAGGTCTGACATAGTGGAGCAACTGCGAAAAGATACTGAACGTACTAAATGACTCGGTGGAAAGGGGATAAGTGCTAACCTGTGGGGCTAAGGCCTGGTTGGTGTGAGACAGGGCGCACAATTGATGCTGAGGACAGGCATTCTGGTGAGGTTGGCGCTCTGTGGGGCAAATCGTCGAACACCTGTTCGGCGTCAGCTGGGACTCGGCTATGCTCAGCGAAATGGGCTGGGACGGGGTCTGGATGAAGGGGCACGGCCAAGCGGCTGGGGCGCTCAGGTGGGCGCCCTTGGTCAGGCGCAATGGCGAGCTCCGAGGGGCAGGCACGGTGGCGCGCGGGCAGGCGCGCGACGTGCGCGCGGAGGCGCTGCAACGGCCACGCGACGGGCGCGCGTGGCTGGCGCGCTGGCGACGGCGCGGCGGGCTGCTGATGGCCTGGTAGTGGCGGCGGCGACCTGGCGGCGGCGCGGCGGGCTGCTGACGGTCTGGTAGCGGCGGCTACGACCTGGCGGCGCCCCCCTTCCTCTCCTATCCTCTCTGAACGAGATTCTCAATCAAAACACGCTCTCCTAAAAATGACGGCTAGCTCTCTTGGGGGTGGCTCTCCATCCCTAATACAGGGCCCCAAATGGGCCAATGGTGGAGGGCCACACTTGAGGCCCAAGACGCCAAAGCCCCAAAAAAGTAACACACATAGAGTCCAAAATGGGCCCTCCTCTCCAAGTGGGCCCAAATGGGAATGGCCCGAAAGGAGAAGAGATGAAAGAAAAGAAAACAAAAGGGAAATGAGTCTTCCCATCCCCAACATGGCCCAACACAGACCCTAGGGATGGGAGGCCCCACATTGAGCAAAACTAGAACCCACACAGTTCACATACGAGGGAAACGAGTGAAGGAAAACATAAGACATGGAAAACATTAAGGCACCTCAAGCTGTATAACGGAACCCGGGGTCCTTTATCTTCACTTGTGCTCCTCGATCTGGCTAGATATGTGAGGGCGGAGTCTCCTCTGTCGTCTCAAGTTTCGTGTAGTGGTGGAGACGGGTCCCCTTCGCCACCATGAAGTCTTGATGAGGCGGGTCAACAAATAATCTCTAATAGTTGTCATCTAGTGGAATGGAAATTAGTAACTTTGTAGATCTCCGGCGATTGTCACCTGATGGAGATAAGTTGGATGAAGGTGGGCTGCATTTTAGAGAACTTCATCCTTAGGTTCACATAGCAAGAGGAGGCATCACATCTGGTATGCTCTCAATGGCGACTCGTCTTGGGTCCACACAGCAAGAGTACGTATTTGGTGGTGACTTGTCTCTTGGTGGGTCATCTT